GGTCTGTCTGCCTTTAATCAGAGGTACGGTTGTTACAGCACCGGGTCCAGCACAGGGCAAAGCACACAGAGGCCTCAACACACTCTGTGCTGGGGACTCACTGCTCCCCAGAGCATGGAGCAGCACTGGGAGAGAGGTAGGGGAGGCACAGCCCTGGATCACTCAGCCCTGGGCTCCGCACCCCATGGTCCCGGGGACAAAGCTCCTGTCAGCAAGCACAAGCTCCCAGGGCAGCAGGATGCACATGCCCCAAGGCCTCTGCACCACCACAGGAAAGCCAGGCCCAGACAGACACAAGCACATTTAGTATCACAACCTGCCAGATGACTAGCATGAGACAAACTAGCTAGCTAAATAAATAAGTGGGTTCCTGCGCTGGCCTCTGGGCTCTAACCTGCTGGCTGCAGCCTCCCCAGCTTCCTTCACAGGTAGGAGGGCCAGGGTTCACATCCCATAGGATGCAGGATGAGGGTGTGCACCCAAGGCTGTGAGGCTCAAGGCCCTGGGAAACGTCCCCCTTTCCCAGTAACGACTGACAGCACCAGACCCTGTGCAGGTCTGGAGTCCCATCAGAGGCACTGAGCCACCTCCACGCATGCCCAGGGTCAGCACTGTCTTCCTAGCAGTGACAAGGTTACACGTTTCCCACCTGCTTGGCAAGGGACAGCCAGGCAGGAACTCACAGCCCAGGACCAGCCCGTTGAGCCAGGTCCCGTGTTCAAGAATTTCCCCCCCCTTCCATGATCAACCTAGCCCCTTCTCCTCCTGTGGAAACCTCCCTCAAACCATCCCATCTGCCCCCACATCTTCAGAGCACTCCAAGTCCCAACTCTTCCTTTCCTCACATCCTTCTTTCCACATTTTTCTCCCAATCAATCTGCTCCAAACCAGCCCATTCCCCATTATCAGCCACTTCCAATGGCATGGTGCCTGGCCCCTTGCAGAAAAGCTCTGCTTTCCTCCTACCCTTCCTCTGCCTGCAAGGAACAGCAAACAGCTTCAGCCTGCCTCTCCCAGCAGCCACGCCTAGGGATGCTGGAGCAAGGGGGAGCTGATTCACCCTTTAATGCCATCAGGAATTAGGCGACAGCATCAGGTCAGGAGGTTGCCACCAAACATGCCTGTCCTAGCAGGTCCCTGCTACATGCACAGCCTTTAGCTGTCACCCCCCTCACCTTGTCTTGGATATACAGTAGCTATGGGCCACCCTACATTCCCATGCTGCTAGCTACAGAGGCCCACATGCTGCCACTGGGTCGCATAAAGCTCAGCAGGGAAGAGGATAGCAAGACAAGGACTGCCCTGTGCTGCAGGGAGAGCCCAGCTCACCAGTGGCCAGCGCAGGTTTGCTACAGGACACTAACATCAGCTAAGTCTACAGGGAAGAAAGCAACTGGGCACATGACAGCCCTGCCAAGGCCAGGCCTCCCTGTCCCAGAACAGCTCCCCATCTTCATGCCTCTCTCCTGGCTTCTGCAGAGATGGAGGGAACAAGCTAGGAGGGCTGAGGATGGCTAATGATGGTGGAGTCGATATGCCTGGAGTGAAGACAATCCCCTGCAGGCCTGGTCCCCAGCAGTGCGCAAGGGCAGGCTGGGCTGGGGGCACATGAGGGGACGGTGGCCCGTCACCCTGGCCTAGGGGAGCAGGCAGCTCCTCGCAGCTTCTTCCTGCTCTTGCTGGCCATGGGGCTGGCGCTGGCCAGGACCTCACTCCTCTGCAGGCGTGTCGGTGCCCTCACGTGCCGGGAGGGTTGGGGGGCTGGCGTGGAGTTCTTGCCGAGGAAGGAGGGATGGTGTGGAGGAAAAGTCGGAAGATACAACACAAACATCCAGGTGATTGCGGTGGAGGGGAAAGAGGGAGTCTCGGGAGGCATTTAAGCCTAGTGCACAGAGAGGAGAAAGACACAATTTACAAGGCCGTGAGGTTGTAGGTGCAGGTGGCGAGAAGGGCCCCGGTCATGTCTGGACAGGGTGGGAGCCTTGTGAGGCTCAATCAGCAGAGCCACATCTTTGCCAGTGCACTCAAGCAGGCTGGCAGAACAGCTAGCTTCAGGAGGAACAGCCTGGGCCTCCTGCTCGGAAGGGTCCCTGCTCCTGGGCTGCCGGCATGGACTGCTGAGCTGGTGCCATCCTGGCTCTCCCAGTTACCTGGGCAGCACGCAGCTGGTCCAGGCCCTGAGGTACTCCAGGGCTCCCCTTGGCAGCGGAGCACAGAGATTGACGGCACCACAGGGACTCCTATGGCCCGGCCTGCAGCAGCTAAAGGACGGCAGAAGAGCCTGCCTGGAGGCAGCATGTCCAAGGGCTCTAGACTGCTACAGGGAACAACTGGCCATGACAGACAAGAGCAGCAGGAGCTGTCTCAGCCTTCATTTCCAGGAGAGCTGCAGCCCAGAGCAGGGCTGCTGGCTTGGGACAGGAGGCTGGCTGTGTGTGCAGCATCATGTGGCAGCAACTGTGTCCCCCAGGGTGCTGGGCCAGTCCTCCAACCTGCTATCTACAGCTGGCTGTAGCAAGAACTATCCCATTGGCTGGGTCAGGCATTGCCTGCTTGCCCTGTGGTGATCAGCTCAGAGACTGGAAGGTTTCCCAGACCATCACTAGTGCACAGTGATCACCCCACACCAACCACAGCCAAGAGGAACCATGGAGACATAACAGGCCAGGGCAGGGACCAGCTGATCCTAACCCAAATCTGCAGCCCTCCCCCTGTACTTGTCTAGCCCCTATATGAACTGGGGAGTGCAAGGGCACAGGGTTGGTGCTTTCGCAGGTCTATGACCCTCTTTGCTCCTGATACCAAGAGCTGGGGCAGAGGACAGCTCTGCACCTGGGAGAGCTGCTGGGGCCTCTTGAAGGTCTGCTCCCCAGGTCCCCTTGAGTCATCACCAGGGTACAATCCACAATCAAGAGAGCCAGCAGGCTTCAGGCTTGGACGCTGAAGGGCTGTCATGGCAACAGGGAAGAAGGAGAAGGAAGAAAAGGAGCTCATGCAGTGGGGGTAGAGCGGAGCCAGGTGGGGAAGGGTTAGTGACAGCAGATGTGAGGGGGGAGCAAAGGACTCCATGTGCTCAGTGTGTCGCCTGTGCCAGGCCACAACCACCCCTGGGTACACCCAGCTACACTATGTTCTCTGCTAAAGTTTGCAGGAGGAATTTTAAGCGTTAACTAGCACTGAGCCAAGCACCCACCAGCACCATGCTCACTTTCCACTTCTTCTCCATCTTCCTCATTGCAAAAGACAAAAGGCACCTGTCACAGATCTGGACCACTATCACCCTCCAACATCAGCACAAGTGACCAAAGTGCCACTCAGTCTCAGAGCAAGCCTAGACAGGCTCCGACTGCTTTGTCTGTGCCTCAGCTAACACCAGCTTCTTTTGCCACAACTGGTCAGCCCAGCCTGACATCCCCAAAGACCTGCCTTTTACCACCTCTGCTTGGCCAGAGCCTACAGACAGCATGAGACCCAGAGAGGGGGATGGCAAAGACGCTGGCTGCAGACTATGACCATGCCCTACAGTCACTCAGTCACACGCACCAGGCATACAGCCCCAGAGCCCTCCCCAGGCTCAGCATTGCCTGCGTGCAGTGCAGGACAGACAGCCACACTGCCCACAGAGGCTGTGTGGGCCTGAGGTGGATACGATGCTCTCAGCCAGGGCCTCAAGAGGGGAGCAGCAGAGAGAGATGTTAATAAGGTTGCAAGGCTAAGATTAAGGGCAGACCAGGACCAGCTCATGCTGTGCATTGCCAGAGCCTAACAGCCCCCTGGAAGCAGGAGCCCCCATTGTGGGTATCTGGCCTGTACACCAAAAGCCAGGCCCAGCCACAAACCTTTGCAGGCTGGCTGGCTCATGCCAAGAAAGAGGGGAAGGAAGTGTGCAGGGAACAAATGGAGGCAGACAAGGATGCCACGACAGGCCACATGGGGACAGCCCTGATGCAGGCAGTCCCTTCCCTCTGGCAGCCCGCTGAGGCCATTCTTGATGGTGTCTTGTACTTACCCCGCTCCATTCCACGCCCATACTCACTTCCTCGCTACCGTCTGTGACATTCTCATACTTGACGCTGCCCCCCAGGCTCCGACGTCTCTCTGTGCCATCTCCCTCCTTCAGGATCTCCACCACCTTTGTCTGGTTGATTGGGTCAATGCCCTGCAAGGAGAAAGAGTTAAGGAAGCACCACGTTTTGCCCTTCTGTATTCTTTCCCTCTAGTGATCTGCTGTGCCATCGCTTGCTTGGTCCTATCCCCTCTCTTGGCCATTGCTCCATCACAGCCAAAACTCTCCAGCATAAGCAGGATGGACCCAAATGCCACCCTGCACTTAGCAGACTCTGTCAGGTTTCCCAGCTCAGCGAGCCCCATCAAACCATAACTGTCATGGAAGACAAGTTACTACAACCAAAGCAAACAGCTTATTTTCCTTCACATTTCAGTGTGTGAAGGTTTCTGCTGTCCTTCAGTCTTTGCTTACAGCTCTTGCTTTATTATTTGAGGATTGGGAAGAGCTTAGGGTGAGAGGTACTCTAAGAAATCCCTACTGTGTTTCCCTGGACAAAAAAAATAGTGAGAAGAAAACATCCCATTGAGCACAGATCTCAGTAGCTGAAAAAGCCCAGTAACCTGCGCTAACCTGGCTGTAGCACTTCTGCACCCCAAGAGCCAGACCTTCTTCCCAACACAGACACACATGGACAACCTGCTCCTTCCATGTGCATTTGCACAACCCCACACATGCACAAATACAACCCCAACCACCAAGATGCTATGGTGCTGTGGGAACATAAACCAAGGGTGTCAGAGGCTGCAAGGCCCAGAGAGGCCCTCACAGCACAGCCCGAGCCACAGGCAGCGCCATGCATTTGCTATGCTGATGCTCCCATCCCACAACACCCCCTGCCCCAGGGAGGATCCCTCCAGGGTTACCTGCCGCCGGGAGCGAACCGCGCACTCCTCCAAGGTCTCTGCCGCCTCCAGCTTGCCCTGGCGCCGGTACAGCGCACCCAGGTTCCTCAGTGTGGTGTTCACCGTCGGGCTGCAGTGACGGAACGTGAGCAGGAGCCCTGCTCTCTCCAGAGCCCACAGCTGCCTATGAGCCACCTCTTACCTGCTAACCTTACAGGCCTTGTACCAGCCGCCATACTCAGCGTAGGGAGCGCTGTCTCTGTGCTTGCTCTACAGGGAGAGGAGAAAGGAGAGCTGTTAGCCCCATGCCTACTGCCATGCCTTTGCCAGGGTCAGACCCTCAGCTGCACCTCCACACCAGCACATCCTTTGGAAACACAATGTGCAAATGCAGTGATGAAGCCCAGCAGGTTCCTGCAGGGAAAGCTGAAAGCCCATTTGCTGCAACAGATTTGGACCACAAGTAGAAGTGATGTCCCCAACCCACCAAGGAGCATAATCCCATTTCCTCGCCCCTTCCATAGTACCAAAGGGACAACACAGTCCATCCACACAGTGCTCTGGAGGACATAACACCCTACCGAGCATGCAAAATAGAGACCAAGAAAAAGCCACCCCAACCAACAAAACCAACCCATATGCGTGCCAGGCAGCAAGGGCACCAACCCCCTCAGACACAGTCAGTAAAGGAATCAGCCAGCCACATCCTAGGTCAGGCCTGCCCCACAGCAGCTCAGCTGATGAGCTGTTGTCTCCTCTCCATGCCCAGCCATTGCACCTCAAAGCTGGCTAGCCCTACCACAGCCAGGAACAGAGGCTGTGGGCCAGAGCAACAGGAGAGTGGGCAAGCTTGATGGTCAAGGCAAAAGATCCACAAGGAGAACCTACTCTGCGGGACACTGGCTGCCAGCCAGCACTGCCCTGGGTCAGTTGCCACCACGGCAGCTGCAGGCAGGAATTGTCTCTGCTGCGCGAGCAGGGCTCCTGCACACACCTTGTACCCCCTGGTGCATGGTGAGCACTGGCTCCACAGCAGGACTTTCCCTCTGAGGAGGGCTCTAGACCAGAAGAAATGGTCTTCAAAGGGACTATTCTTACTCAGTCCCACATGCTTCTCAGATCTCTAGCCCACATGGTGGAGCTTCCCTGAGCCACAGGCACATGTGAGTTTCCTTGCACCAGAGCCTACACAGCTGGGGCAGGCCCTAGGGACAGGAGAGCTCAGGACTCAAAGCATCTCTGAAGCTGTAGAGGCAGCCCCAAGAGGGCAGCTGAACCCAAGGGGAAAGGTGTCAAATCCCCTGGGGAGAAGCAGTGCCACAGGCCAGGGCTGCCTGCTGTGCCCAAGGCCCTGCTGCTGGCACAAGCTTGTCTCCCCCTGATGCCACTGAGAACAGAGCCAAAGAGGGGTGAGGGGAAAAAAAAACAAAAGTGAAGCTCTGCAAGAGGGGTTTGATGATTTTTTTAATAGGAGATGTGGAATCACAGCACGAAGCAGAGCACAGCAGCCCCAGCCCCTGGGCCAGCAGTACAAACAGGTCTGTGGTCACTGCTGCCTGGCCAGGAAGGCCATGCCAACCACATCGTGCCATGGGGCATGGGCACAGTTGCACTAGGGACAGGCAAAGCAGCTCAGCCCTTGCCTCAGGTTGTAAAACAAATCTCAGTCCCTGAGCCTGTTCTCTTGCCCCATAGCAAAACCCGCATTATCCAGAGCATAGCTCCGCACTGTAACTATCTACTTTTGACCTTAATAATCCAAAGGTCTTATCAGGAGTGACTCAGTCCCAGATGGGGCAAGGGAAGCCTGATCTCTGCGCCAACTTTGATTTCACCTGCATAGGATGTGGCAGCAAGCACAGTTTCTTTACAGCAGAACCTTCATGGGGAAGCAACAGGAGCTGTGGGAGGTGGAGCTGAGCACTGCTCTGGGGACTGCACAGAGCAGTTTAGTGGTAAGACACAGCATGCTGCTGGGGGGCAGCTACTAGAAGCCTGCTCTTAAGTACTTGCAGGATGGGACTGGTAAGTCACTAAGCCAAGCCTGGAGCCTGCTGTCTGAGCCCACACAGGGATGGTGCCTGCTCTGAGGGCAAAGGAAAAGGAGAAACAGTGTCTGCTCCCCCTGCAGCTATACCAGAGCCCTTCATTCTGCTGCTTCACCCACCTGCCAAAGAGCAGGCAAGGTTTTAGGCTTGGGAAATGCAGAGAGAGGACCCCCACTGCATTATCAGCTGAGCACAGAGCAGGGCCTGGGCAACAGGAGTAAGTGTCTTTGCCTCTAAGCTTAGTCCAAGGCAAGTACAACCCATGTCTATTCTCTTTCAGTCACCGGCCAGGATACAGAGCAGCTAGGGCCCACCCTGTGCAAAGATCTTTTTCAGGAGGTTTGGCTCTGTTTCCTAAGCAAGTTGATGGCAGCAGTTTCTTCTTGACCTCCACTTTTCCCCAGGCACCCTTAGGGCTGCTGCTTCAGAAGTAGGTTGTGCTCTGAGTACTAGCAGCTCTTTGGAACAGAGTGCCAAGGCTCTGCAGCACAACCCTCTGCCATCTGCCATCTTCCATCATCTGCATGCCCTAGAGGGATCACTGAAGCAAAAAGAGAGAGCCATGGTTTGAGAGGCTGAACAACCCCCTGCCCAAGGAAAAGTATCAAGCACTCCAATGGGCCTTCCCCCCCTGCTGCCCCAAGGAGCAGCCATGCTCTCTCTCTCTCTCCACTCTCCAGACTCTTCCTGGCCTTCATCAGTGGCCATGGCAGCTCTTCAGACTGCAGGAAGGAGGCTGTGGCTGTAACAAGAGGATCACAACCCCAAGATCTCCTTCCCCTCCCAGGGCTCTTGCTATCAACAGCACCACTCACCTTGCTCATCTCCTCTCTCTCCTCCGCGTGCATCTTTTTTTAATACAAGACAGCTCTGCTTACCACCTCACCCCGTTCCTCTGCCACTTCCACCGGGGCTCTGCCTCCTGGCACAGCACAGCACTCTGTCCCCAGAGCCAGCAGCTCACCAGAGGGAAGTGACAAGGCTTCCAGATCCCCCAGGCCCCAAGAAAGGCAACCAGCATTGCAAGGGCAGGACAGGGAACAGAACAAACTAGTCCTCCCACAGGGCTGAAGAGCAGCATAACACACTAGAAGGGCAGTGTCTCAAGGGCTGCCCAAAGCAGAGGCCGTGCAAGGCATCCCATCCCTCTGCCAGGAGGATGCTGAGAGCCAGGAGCCCCAACTGCTCACCCTTCCCCAGCCCCAACAGCTTCTGCTATACAAACCATCCACAGAGCCAAACTCCTTCACGTGAGCACGGGTGAGGATCTCCTTATACAGCACCTCTGCATCTTTGTATTTGCCTTGCTTCAGGTAACAGGAGGCCTGCAACCAAGAAAACAGCTCCAGCCCCACTGGGCAACACAGATTAACTCTGCCCACCTCTTGCAGCTCTCTCTGCATCTTCCAAGCACCAGGCCATGCTCCCCATCCCCACATGGGCTCTCCCAGGGGTCTCACCAGGTTGTTCTTGGTTTTGGCCACGTTGGGGTCATCAGGACCCAGGCAGCTCTCATAGATCTCCAGAGCCCTGCAGTAATAGTATTCCACCTCATCGTACTTGCCCTGGTTCTGGCACAGCAGGGCTAGATTGTTCAGCTGCTTGGCCACATCAGGATGGTCTTTGCCTAGGACCTGAGTAAAGAAAATAAGAGAAGCCACAAAAAGTCAACACTTAAAGACGATAGTGGACTCCTGGAGTTAACAGACCCTGTAGTCTGTCCATGACATGCCCATGTCAGACAGGAGCCAAGGACTAGGCAGGTAAAGAGGAGAAATTCCAGCTTCCACCTCCTGGCAGGCCTCTCTAAGGCTGCAAACGCTGGAGAGACAGGAAAGGTAGTGGCAAAATCAGCAGATAAAGAGACTAGTTAGGTCCTGGATCTCCAATGTGCAGTGAGGCAATGGGGGAAAACCCTCAGGGAGAGCTGGAAGAAAGGAAGGAGAGCACAGACGACCAGTACCTACCTTCTCACGGATCTCCAGGGCTCGCTTACACAGTGGCTCTGCCTCTTTGTACTTCCCTCTCTTGCCATAGAGAACAGCCAGGTTGTTCAAAGTTGCTGCCACCTGCAGAGACATAAGCTTCTCCATGAAACAGAGCAGAATCCAGCAGGATCAAACAAGGGGTGCAAGCAGCAGTAACATGGCAGCCCCATTTCCTTCATGCCTTCAGGATAGCTGCTTTTGAAGACAAGAAGGTCTAGAGGCAGAAGGCTACCCTGCCTACACTACAGGATCCAGGAGAAACCAACCTCTGATAGGCCATTCTGAACAAGACAGCAATGAGTGCTGAAGCAGCAAACCAACCCTACACAGTATGAACAGTACTCTGCACACTACAGAGCTCACTACTGACCTTGGTAGTCCAGCTGCAGACACACCAGAGGAGCACTGTTCTAGCCCCAGCAGCACCCACGGGGCAACAGAATTGACTGAATGAGGATGAAGACACTCACCGCTGGGTGGTCTTTGCCCAGAGTCTTCTCACGGATGGAGAGAGCATCATTCAAAAGGTGTGCTGCCTCTTTGTATTTATTCTGATCCCTGCAGTGCAAAGTCAACCATTTATTCAGGATTTGGACACCACAGCCCATCACAAGCAGAACTACCAATAAGAATCCTTCCACACAGATCCAGCCCCCACAGCCCTTTCATTTCTCCTTTCCTCCCTGCCAGTCCCTGGTTATATTAGGGAGTTTGGTGGTACAAATACCTTATCTGTGCCAAGACCTTTTTGAAAGGCAAACCACTGGAAGCAGGGGAAGCTCCCCATCACCAGCGTGTGCTGTCCTGGTAAATGGGAGAGACAGAAGGCTCTCCTGGCCCAGCCCTGCCCTCCCCAGCATGCTCACCTGTACACCAGTGCCAGGATGTTGAGCATGGTGGCCACATCGGGGTGATCATGGCCTGATGTCTTCTCCAGGTCCTCCAGTGCCTGCTTGCAGAGTGGCACAGCCACCTCATAGCGTCCCTGTGAGGCGTACTGGATGACAAGGTTGTGGAGCGTGCGCAGGCGTGCAGGAATCTCATAGCCTCCCTGCTGGGCAGCTGCCACTGCACTACTATGCTGGTGGGGCACTGCAGGCACAGAATAAACAGGGGCACAGTTGGCACAGCAGACTTGGACAGAGACAGCAGCGACCATGCACGAGGAAACACTTACGTCCAGGACCATGCTCCTCCTCCTCATTCGGGAACAGATCATCCAGAGAGTCCTTGGTGGAGTCACCCTCCTTCTCCTCCTGACAGGATGGAATCACAATACTGTGTGCTCCCAGAGAAGACAGCAGCCTGGGCTGAGTCAGCTGCCAAACTCTCCTCCCTGCTGCAGCCCACCAACACCCTCAGCTTCGCTCGTTGTCTCTGCCACCATCTTCTCCACACACAACAAACTAATAAAGCCAAATTTCCCCCAGCACATCCTGGCATGCTACTCCATGTTCTTCCAGAGACTCTGCCCTTTTAGTCACAGGGCAGAGCCTCTGGAAGCTCCCTTTAGTTATAGGCACTACTATAACTAAAGGAAGGGGCAAAATCCAGGGTGATGCTGTCACAAGCTAGGTAATCCCACTGGTCCAACCTCCCTACCCCCAAAGGTGCTGCCCAACAGGACTAGGGCATACCGAAGGTGAGACATCCTCATCATACTTCTTCAGCTGGTTCATGAACTCAAGGTGTTTCTTCTCCTCCTCCAGCTGAGCCACGGTTTGCTCACTGCGCTGCAGCTTCTGCTGAGTGTTAGCGAGCTCATCACGCAGCCACTGGTTCTCCTGGCACAGCCTCCGGACCTGAGCACGCAGCTTCTGCTTCTCTGACTCCACAGCATTCAGATGGTTGGACAACGCCATCATCACCTTGTCAAGAGACACAGCCAGTAACTACCACTATCTGGTATCTCCCTCATATGCATGCTCAGGGCCTACTCTCAGGGTCATGCTCAGCCCCCTGCTGCCTTTGCAGCTTACAGGGAATGGCCACATGCCTGCCTTCCCCTGTCAGTGTTGGGTAACACCGCTCTCACCTGAGCCTCTCCAAGCCCCAGCTCTATCATCTCCACTGACTTGCGGAGCAAGTTGGATTTTTCATGCACAAGATTGGCTTCTTCATCTTTCTTCAGGCACTTTATGGTTTCCAGCAAGCTGTGCAGGATGGAGTTGTGTTCATTCTTGAGTGCCTCCAGCCCCTGCATCACTAGCTTGGTGTTGGAAATTATCTCCTCTTGGCTCAACTTGTCCAGTTTCTCCTCCCTAGGGTACACCATGGTGGACATAGTCCTGCTTCTGCAGCCCTGCAGGAAGAGAGACAAAACCTGAATGCCTCAGTGCTGCTTCAGAGAGCCACAACCAGACACAAGTGTTACAGCTTCCTTCAAGCAGCCAGAGACAGCATTCAACTGCTTGTCTGCTCTAAGCCCTTCCCCTGTCCCTTTGGCAGCTGTCAGGGCATGTGTCTCCACTTCTGTGACACGGAATGCTGCAACCAATTCAGGTGGCACACGTGGACAGGAGACAAAAGGCTAGAATCACTGCTGACCTCCCACACCCCCACACTCCCAGCAGCAAGGAAAGCTGATTTAGCTTCCATTTAAGAGCATAGATTTGTAGTTGGCAGCTGGGGTTGCAATGCATGCACCTCCTGCCCACAGGCCATGGATGCAAGGAGGCTGTCACAGATCGACACCTTTTCTGACTGCAGGGGAAAGAGAATAGAAAGTGAAGGGATGCCAGCTCAAAGCTTTCTGGTTAATCGATACAAAACCTCCTGCAAGACCATCTCAGACAGGGAGGCACCTTACTGGCCAAATAAAACCTTCCCTGCCTAGAAGAGCACACCCTCATAACCCCAGCCTCGGCACAGGATTGCCACTGTGGCCAAAAGCGACACAAACACCACCAGCATGAACCGAATCACACCTGGGTGAGAAAGATTACATACACCAAGAGCTACAGTCACACTAGTGTAACCTCGGTGTGAGTGTCAGCCTGAAGCACTAACAGCTTTTCCAGCCTTCCCTGCTGACAGACCAAGGGCTCCTCAGGATGCCATAAGGACTCCATACTCCTTTCCTATCCCATGCCCCCAGATATGCAACAGGAGTACCAAGCTACTGCCTTTGCACAGGGACTCCAAGTTACTACAGCCCACTACGTTAGTGTGGCTGTGGGATGCCTGCAAGGTGAAATCCAGGGGCTAAGGAAAGACAGCAGGCCAGAGGGCAGATGTGAGAAGCAGGCAGCATGCTACGGGTCACCCCAAGGGCAGGCTCCTTCACGGCCGGCATCAGCCGCTGCCATGCCCCGCACAGGCAGCACCTCCGCACTGCCTGGAGCTGTCAGGAGGCACTGAACATGGGCACCCAGGGCCCTGCTGGCAGGAGGCTGGCAAACTGCCCAGGCCCTACACAGGAGCAGGAAGAGCTGCCAACAGGTTTGTCTTTGTCCTCCTGCAGGACCCACCTCTGCGTGGCTCAAGCTCTTTGTGCAGCAGCAGCCTTGCTGAGCATGTTGCCCAGGTACATAGCAGGGCAGAGCAGAGCCCCTCTCCTGCCCACCCTGCACTCTGCCCCAGGGGACACAGGGCAATCCCCCAGCTCAGCTACCGCTACCCCTGCCTTGGAGTGGGCCCTGAGCAATAATGGCATCCGGTTTCTTCCTCACTGCAGCACTGTAAAGCTAAGATGGCAAACAGTGCTGGGGCAGTTGCTAAAAGTACATACATCTCCTCCTCTTTAGCCTTACTCTTCCAGAAGCCCTTAGAGTTGTTTTATACGCCAGAGCTCTTGGCTCCTTTTTGGTTTCTGTTCCAGTGATGCACATCCATCCCTCAGGAAGTGTTAAGACACCATATCTCCTGAAGACTGGGTTCCTGTTCATACCTTTGAGCAAGAGCCAAGCACTCCTCCACCCACTCCAGAGTCACAATGCTGACATTCACTTCATGATCACCAGCACCAAGCCTGAGCCATACTTCACTGTATCCTTCACTTCTGGGTATCTGCCGTGCTCCATGTGCAGTCAGTTACCCTGTGCATTGTGCATTTCACACTGAAAAGTCATCTGAACTGTGACATTTCCCACCTTGCTTTAAAGACCATATGACGAGAACATCATGAAAAACCTCCCTGAGATTAAGACAGGGGCCATAGAGGACCATTTCAAAGAAAAGAATGGGTCTGTTGAGACTGGGCTGACACTTATATCCTGCCTTCCAAACTGATTCTGCAGGAACTGGCAGCTAAGCATTCTGGTCCCTATTTCTCTTGGTTAATCTTTTTCGACCTTCAGAAACTCATCTGGGGGAGCAATCGAGTGTTAGAACAGCAAGGAAAGCCCTGCCTAAAGCAGGTTTCTGTGGGTGAACACAAGTCAGGAAGAGTGTATCGATGCTAGCGCTGGCACAACTGTCAAAGCACTGTTGTCCTGCTCCAAAATGCATCCAGAGAGCTTCCCAGGAGGGTTCAAAAGGCACTCACCTGCTTCCAAAGAAGCCAAGGCAATAACTGCTAAAGAGTGAAACAGCCCCACCACTGGTTTCAGCTCATATGGAAACAGCCCCAGACTCAGAAACAGGAACATCAGTGGGAGTCCTCTGGAGCACCCACAATGCTTGGGGCACAAGGAGAGCCCCAGGAGCAGCCCCAGACACAGCACACAACAAAACAAGAGCTCTGCCCTAAGGCTCACGCTGCTGAGTAGCACAAGTGCCTCTTCACCCATCCTCTGTGTCCTGGGTCAGCTGTGACATGCTGACAGCTTTCATGGAAGCATTACTGATGTCCATAGAGAAATCTTGCTGTCATCTTCAAAAAGTGCAATACAAATGCATTGGGAAGAAGAATATGTTACAAATCATGATAAAAAGCCACCAGAGCTTGAACCTTGCTAGGTAACAGAGTCAGACAAGATCCAGAGCCATAGAAAAATCAGCCTCATTCAGTCCACTGTGCATAGAATAACTGAGGAATTGCCAACCTGGATATTAAACCACCAGTGCCTTCATTACAGTGACATCCTGTCTTTCCTCAGCCCTTCCAGCAGAAGAAAGCTTCAAGGATTTCAGAGTCCCCACAATCAACTTGTTTTTCCAAACTGTAAAGATTTCAGACTGAGAAGGGAAATTAATCAAAACATTCTGACCCACAGCACAGACTTATCCTACCCTACAGCCATATCCTCAGGACATACCAACACAGGCTCCTATTCTCTCTCTGTACGAACACCTCTACGCAACCCTGGTCTTTCCTTCTCAGGGTGACATCCTAGAAGCACAGCTGTTAGGTACCAACATGCTTCCAACATTCAAGGGTGGACAGGGGATGATCCAGGCTGGACACAGGCACACAACCTGGAAACAACATGCAAGCTGTTCCTTCCCAAGTACCAGCAAGAAAACACTGGCAACTGCAGAGAAGTCATTTCAACACTGCTACCTCTCATACAGCAAAGGAGATCAACAAAACACTGGTGGGAGCTGCCTTATCCCTCCAAATCAACAATTCTTCCCATCAGAGCCTTATTTCTAGCTCTCCCCAGTGCTGGCAGGTCTACACTCAGTAGCCCTCCAAAGAAGAACCATGCTTTATGGCAACTGATGCCAAGGTCAGGCAGGCTGAGCCTGCTGTATAAGCACTCTTACTGCTCCCACACAGTCAGTAAAGGGCACTGAGTGTCCTTTATCCAGGCAGAAAAAACACTCAAGAGGTTTGCGCAGAGAGGGGGACACACACCATCCTTCGCCTTTGGCAAGGGGATTCCAGCCCGGAATAGGAAGAAAGAATGCTTTTCCAACATGTTCCTCATGAGCTGGGGTTCACAGTTCCTAGTTTATGCTGGTGCATTCCTCGTGGCTCTGCAGGTGCCAAAGCCTTGGTCTCCACCAGCAGATTTCTGCTCCAGTTGGCATGTCTTCCCTATTTACAGGGAGCTGCTAGAACAGCCTGGCTTTCCGGCAACACCCATCTCACCCCTGCACCCTGCTCCCATTTGGATGAGTGCTGCAGTTGCAGCAATCAGCTGGGAATCCATCAGCTAGCACATCCTGCCAGGCAGAAACGTTCCTCCTGTATTCAAGTGCATAACTGGGAAATCACTGAGCATCAGCAATTTCAGCAGCCTACTTCTCTGCCTCTGAAAACTGCTCCCACATGCAAGAGCTTTAAGAGGAAAGGGCTGGAAGCTTCACTGCTTCTATCTTAAACCCACAACAGCTGCCACAACAGAAACAAGGGCGCCAGCCTAAATGGGTCCAAGAGAATCTTAAACCTTAGATCACGATGCCTAATGCTAGAAAAATACAGAGGGCAAAGAAAATAAGCAGCAAGGGGCAAAAAAGAAGTCAACTACAGTAGGACAGAGACTTCAGGTCTACACATGCCTCAACGAATTCAGTTTGCTGTCTCCACACATGTCCCTAGACCAAGTGTACGTGAGACACAGGGTACCACCACAACTCACACAAGTGATACTGTCAAGACAATAACTGCAGCTTCCTTCAAACTGCGTTTGCCCTGCCAGCACTCTCTGTATAGAAATGGGCACATCTTTAGCAGCAAATTCTACTGTAGAAGGTGATCTCAGGATACAGTAGCTGCAGATAAACAGCTGGGTTCTGGGAAAAAAAGCTTCCCGTGGAAAAAACCAAATCTGACCCATAGCAAGAATGAGGGAGCGTATCTGGGAGATAGCAATGGCAGCATTTAGAAATGGAAATACAGGGCTTAAAGTCTTATTTCCACAAAAATTTTTCCAGTCTCATACTTTTGCTACCTGGAGAAACAGCAAAGTCATGTCTTTGTGAAGCAAGCCACTTGATAAAAGTAGGGAGAGGTCTTTCCCCCTCTTTGGGCCTCTGCCAGCTCATTACTGTTAAACAACAGAATAAAGAGTTTCTGGAAAGACTGACTGACCTCCAACGAAGCTGTGAGATCACCAACACACAGCTGAGCCCCCACTCCTAAGGGATACTGCGACAAAACCTACACCTAATGCCTTGGACACTGAAAAGTAAAATAAAACAGGAAAGAGCAAACGGAGTGGCAAGGTTGCAGCCATCCCAGAGGCTGTGTCATGAGCACAGGCTTTCCCCTTATTTTGACACCGCAGTGCCAGAAAGCGGAGGCTGTAGGAGACTGCAGTCAGCGGCGCAGAGCCTCTGAGGCTCCCACTGCACAGCCAGGGCATTCTGACCCTGACAGGAGACTTGGAAACTGCCACACCACTGCCAGAAGAGCCACTGCGCTCAGTGTCACCACCCCAGGCCACAGACAAGGGATAAACTGGTGCTGCTGAGCTGCACATCCAGCAGTCAGCATTTCCAGAGATGCTCCAGTATGGATAAAGCAAGAGACACAATCAGCTCTTATGGTGCCCAAGAACAGGTGGAATAATTGCAGCATATGCCTCCATCCTGGGATACATGCCTGCTGAGGTTCATATGAGGCAAAGCGGGAATGGTGCTATGTGATGCTTGTTACCCCTGCCAGAAATGCCTGGTATCTCTCATGCTCCCTTAGAGCCACTAAGAACACACAAAGAGGAGATCAGTCAGGGGTCAGCACCCTGGGAGTTCACAGCCAGCATATCTCTGAGCTGCAATCCCAAAGCCAACAGATCTGCCCGAAGTTCTTTGCCAACCCCAGCCTGGATGTTTATTGTACTACAGACAATCTAGAGAGTCAAACCAACCCACAGATAACTTCAAGTACCACAGAGAAACTTCTGTGTTGCAATTTCCTTCCCAATAAAAGAGTCTGGCTATTGTATTACTTGGAAGGGATGCCTAGAGGTTTCTTCACTCAAAGCAGGCATCTGATCAGATATCTGTGCCTAGTCAAGGGCTGAATATCTCCCAAAAAGGAGATCCCCCAAGCCCTTCAGACCCCTGTTCCACGACCTAACCATCCTCATGGTTTAAAAAAAAAAAAAAAAAAAAGCAAATCCTCATCTGAATTCCTTAGATAAACTTATTACATTTGCCTTTGCTGAACACCACTTCAGGACAAAGAGACCAGGCACCACAGCACTAGAAACTGACCCTTGGCTCAGAGGAAGGGAATGTAGCACATGCCTCCTTTCAGCAGGGTCCCATGGTGACAGGGTCCCTCTGTCCCAGAGCAAGAGAGGCAACAGAATCCATCTCCAGCAGCAGAGCAAGGAGCTGTCCCACCTGCATTCTCCCATCCCCAAGAAACAGGACTCTGCACCAAGACACTCCCTTGCATGGTTTTAAAGCCCATCCCAAAGCCCAGAAAGGCTTCCCCAGGCTTGGGAATCATGTGTAACTCGGCACAAATTGACTGTGCTGCTGGAAACAGCGCAGCCCTCCCCGTCCCCTGGACAGGGCTCAAGGCCAGGATTGCTCCTTTCAGCAGCAGCTGACACATACCAGCTCTAGCTGAGCGTGAAGCTCCAGTGGCTTCTCCAGACACTGGAAGGCCTGCGTTGGGAAAGTCTGTGCTAACCAGCAGGCTGCAGAAGCCCTGGGACTTTGAACCAGGACTATGGAACTCAATTTGCAGTTCTCCACAAGGAGATCTGAGGCTCCCTTCATGCTTTCCCTTCAGCACTGAAGACTCCTCTGTCCCAGAAGCTTCAGCTCCTCACCATCTTCAATTCTTAACAGAAAACACATCACAGCATAACCTTCCTGAAACCTAGGGTGAACTGATGGTAAGCTGGATGTACACTAACATGGGGCACAGTGGCTCAGTTTTGTATCACTACAGAAAGGATCTGGGAGCTTCCCATCTCCTTCCCACTTTCTAGCCCACACGTGGAAATAGCAAGTCAAAAGCTACTAGGGTTTGTTCTGATTGACCAGAGAAAGCAATTCATGTGTTACCGAAGCAAGAACCAACTCCAATAAACATGTTGTCTGAGGAAAACAGAAGAGATGGTCTGTTTGGCTTTTTGTCAGATCACACATTCCTTCCAAGACCAGAAAAGGTCTTACCCCTCTGATGCATTAGTGGTGAAACAATACAGATATTGGTGGCAATAGGGGTTAAAAAAAACCCCACAGCAAAACAACCAACCAGACAAAAAAGAAACCAGACTAGCACCTACACGTGCCATTAGCAGAAAGCCATTTTGCTCCACACTGCAGTTCATGCTGTCCACAACCCCAGCTGGCCAGGGAAACATGCACCTCTCAGCAGGCCATTGCAACCAGAACAGCGGCCATTGCCACCCCCACCAACAAGCTCATGCTGGCACCTCCATATCAGCTGATAAGACCTTGTTTTTAAACTCTTGCAGGATGGATTTGGTGAGCTGCTGCAGACATAAGCATCCTCTGTGCCCAGGACTACAGTGGAACAGCATTAAAAGCTGTTTCCAGGCTAGCGGAGACAAGAGCTGAGCAGCTGGAACGAAGCCAGGACAAGCATCTCTTCCTAGCTTCAGGATCTGATTGGGAGTCTCGCTCTATGTAAGACAGAGGCAGAGCCGTTACTTTGCCCTCACAGCATGAAGCAGTATTAAAGCAGGCAGAATAATTCCCAGGAGTCCATGGCTCTGCAGGCGTCTAATGCAGGGGCTGTGTACTGGATGTGCATCACAGGTACAGGAGATGGTCAGGACGCAGCTGGGAACAGCAAGTGTGCTGGAGCCACGCTGTGTACCCTGAAGAGCTCTGGAGTACCCACACTCCCTCCACGGTGTACCTGGGGCAGCTCCAGTGACCAGCTGACTGCAGGGCTGAGCTATTATTTCCAGAAACAAGCAGGACTTGTAAACCATAACAAGACAGCCAAATCCAGAGAGACAAAGCTCTCTGGAGGATCTGTTTTACTTCTGGCTGTCCCGAACAACTGGAATTCTTTGAGGAGATAAATTGCTCTTTCCTAGCAAATCAAGCCCTTATTCAGCAATTTTGCCAAGGTCAAAATCTCACCACATGCTCTTTGTGTCCCAAGAGCCATTGTGGTATTTGGGGGTTAATGCTGTTGTTCCTACCTGGACATTCCTCCAAAAAAGCAGATGAGCGAGCATGCACTTCCTGCTCCTTCTGCCAATTACAGCAGCGCTCAGCCATGTTTATTTACCCTCTGTCTGAGCTGGCCAGATCTTTGACCCAATGCATGCTGAACACCACCCTACCTCCCCTCACGCAGAGACAGGGGCTCTCCATGTCTCCAAGGTGGCATTGGAGACCAAGGGCACTAGAGGAGACCCTGGTGTGGCACTGCAGGAGTGTGCCAGATGCCAGCCCTGCAGGACGCAGGGGAGCCTGCGGCTGCTGGTAACGCGCCGCTGCCTCCCACCATTGTGCATGTTCTCCCGACTGCCTGGCCACAGCGTTCTGCTGCAGCACCATCCCCCAGCCCATCCTCAGACACCTCCTCCCAGCCACATCTTCTCCCTCCCAGCAGCTCACTAGCAATTGCTTCCCCCCTGCTCCCACCTTCGGTAGGGTGCACCTCCACTGCAAGCAGCTTAGTAAGCAGTTTATTAATGGGAGGAAGGTTTGAGGGGAAACAAGGTTCGGGAAGTTTGAGAGCCACCGTTGTACGCCAGGAGCTGCCTCCGTCATTGCTTCTCTGGCTTTGTCTGGCAGCAGGAGGCACGCCCGCTGCTTATCCTTGGGACAATCAAGCCAGAGAAACCCCTCCATCCCTCCTCAGTATCCCCACACAGAAACCCTATGCCCACCCAGCTAAATGTAAGGCTCCCAAGGAGAAAAGTTTTCATCAGCTCTACCCGAAATGGCACATCAAAGCGGTCCTTTGTTACAGGCTCGCTGGGCACCCTGCCTGCTGCCTCAGTCACCAGATGGGAATCCTGCCCACCCCCCTCCACCGAGGAGCAGTACCTGGCTGCCTGCAGCAGCTTGTCCAGTGCTGGCACTCCCAGAGGCCCCGGTGCTGCGGGGAAGCACAGGCTGCGGCGATGCACGGCTCCCACCGTGCTGCACTCCGGCTCTAGCAGAGGCGCAGGCACCAGGCGCTCGGCAGCCAACCACACTGCAGCGGGCGGGGGGGGAAGGGGGGAGGAGGAGATCCAGGCTCCAGAAACAGGATGGTGGGATGCTCTCCTGGAAGCGCAGAAAGCATCACGCACACCAAGCCCAGGGCTCCTTCCTCAGGGACCCACGGGAGCCCCAAGGAATGGGGCAGAGTCCCCTAGCTGCTGCTGCATGCTGCCCAAACTCTACCCCACCATCAGCAGGAGCTGAGACAGTCACGGTCACCCCTGCCCTGCGCCAGCCATATCTGCGCCATCCAATACTCAATCAGGTTTTACATCCTGCTTGGTATCACCTTCACCTGTGTCCCCACTGCTGACCCCATCCAAAGCTCAAGCCAAGCTATGTGATCGCTATTGCTGTGCCCGCAGAAGTGGGCAGATCCAGGACAAGATCCCAGTGTTAGCACTGCAGGGTGCAGAGCTGGGCCAGCACTGCCTGGAAGCATCCATTCCACCTCTAGATGCTTTACACAGAGAACACAGATGCCGCAGCATTGCAGCATCCAGTGTAGCCAGCCAATTGTTGCTATAATCACCCCACCACAGCAACACAAGCCCTTCACGCTGCAATCCACAATGTTTGGTGAGCCTCTGGAGGCATGCTGTCCCCAGCTACCTACATGTCTGAGCCAACGTTCCACTGGGAACCCTGACCCTCTCCACAGGCGCTCCCAGAGAGGGAAGAGCTCCAAGTGTCCCAGGAGGGAACCCAGCCATGGTGACATGTAGGCCCTCTCTTACCTCATCTCACAACACACACTTCTTCACTAAAGCATCTTACTGTTCTCCTTTCCCTTCTGTAGTTCTGGAGGGCAAACCCAGCTGGCTATGGGGTACACATAGCTACAGTGGGGTTAAAGAAGAATTCACACCAGTTACACAGAAGCGCAAACACACATTATTTATCTTACACAGACAGCCATTCCTGGCAGTGAAGACACAACCTAATTTTAGAGGAGTGAATCCCTCACTCTGTGTCCACAGCACCCTGGAAACAGCCATACCTCAAATACTGTGTTCAGTTCTAGGCCCCTCACAAGAGACATTGAGGTGCTGGAGCAGGGCCAGAGAAGGGCCTGGAGCACAAGTGTGATGAGGAACGGGGCTGAGGGAACTTGGGGGGTTTAGTCTGGAGAAGAGAAGGCTCAGGGGGCACCTTATTGCTCTCTACAACTGCCTGAAAGGAGGATGGAGCCAGGAGGGAGCTCGTCTCTGCTCCCAAGGAACAAGGGACAGGACAAGACGAAACTGCCTCAAGCTGCTCCAGGGGAGGTTTAGGCT